CCTCTGAGTTAAAAAGGTTGCCGTCCCCTGGTTTAGAGTGTCGTAGATGGCTGTGCAGTCACCATCCCTGCTCTTTGAACATCTGGTGAACATCATTGAACACTGATCAGCCACATATTAATGTTTGTTCCTGCATAAATAAAAAACGTATCCATGTCTCCTACCTCCTGTTGCTTTGTACTTTCTCTACACATGTAAAGTGACTCAGGCTTTTTTTAATTCTGGATTATGTTTAGTTTTATTTATAGTTTTCTGATTTGTTCAACCCCTCGTGTACACCCAACCAGAACGAGTTTTTATGTATTCTACGGTTATTTTCTAAGGAATAATCATCGTAGAAGCTAAAGCTACACCTTTTCACTCTATACGTTCTTTATTTGGACGTGGACGTTCATATGCGCTTCCTCCCTATGCCCGAAAACGGATTATGGTTGTTTGCTGTACCTAAACCACTGCTTTCTCTTTATTGTAGCATTGATTTGCTCAAGATATGGAACTCAGGCCAAGTTGCAGTCGCAGCTTTTGATTTACCACACTGAACTTCGTAATAACCCTTCTCAGTCGTGCAAGACACAGCTCACTCCCAACTCAACCTGCAGGTCAGTCAGTGTTGAGCAGTAGCTATGTTTCGGGACCCTACTGGCCATGAAACTTCACCGTCTCAATCTCGAACCCCCTTCGGCCTATCATGATGTTAGGATTCGACACAAATCTCTTTCGCTCCCTTTTTCATTTCGCTTCCCTTTGCAAACCGAGCGTTGATCTAATCAAAAAGTCGAGTCTGCATCCATAGTACCCCTTTTTAACTCCTCCGGTACTTCGGTCTTATCCAACTATAATATATGTCGATAATTTTGCTCGCTTTTACTCTTTTCAAGGATCCGGTCACTTGTTTCATTTTCGTTGGAGCGTCTCGGAACGACTTGGGAATGGCATCATACTACAGTCGTAGTCACACTCAAACTCCTTGGGTCCGTTGTCATAACCAAGTCAAGAAGACCGTAGGTGGAAGAGAGCGTATTTGGCGGGCGCGATTGGAGGCACACATTGCCTGGATCCCATGGGGTGGAAATGCTATAGAGACAGCATGAAGAAGAAACAATTGCAGCCTAACTCCCAATAAATTAATCAGTAACTTCACAAACATCTAGAAAGCTAATCTCAATCAGCAGATACTGCTCTATTTGCCTAACTTGGCGTCCCATCAGAAAATATGGGTTCTCAAGCAGTACACGCGTAAGTAGACTGTCTACGAGTCAATTACACCTTTGTTGACGGTTGCTTATCAATGTCGTGAGTGCACACTTGACTTGTACAGCGTAAAGGGAGCTTGACTGGATAGTTCTACACTTGAGGGATAAATCTGCGCATCTGTCTTTAACTGTGGTCTTATTTTGATAACTAATTGGGGAATTTTTTAAAATCATTATCCCAAGTGTAAAACCAATTTCCGCGTTTGGGTTGTGGTACCCATTCTGTTCAGTCCCCAGGTCTGTTTCTTCAACTGCTGAGTCACATCTAGACAGTTTGTAATTGCAATGGCCGTAGGGACGTCCTCACTCACCATACTAATCAGAGCAATCAAGCTAAATAACCTAGCAAGAATGCCTGCATTGAGGAAAATAGACTTGTACACAACGCCGGTGATAGATCGTTTGATCATACTCTTGGAGAACAGTGATCCGGACTTGAGTAATCGGTGGGCATTTACGAGAAGTCAACATACTGTCCTTATGTTTTGCATTACCTCTACCGATCATTTTTCCCACTAGTGCGTCTTGTGTCGCCAGCATCCTCCCTGTTAGTCTATCCTGTCAACTACCGACGACTCAAAAAAGGAGGACTGATGGACCAACATAATGTTTTCTTTTTATCAGTGCCTTGGTTCACTTGAATGACTACAGCTTACTGTGGAGGCGTTCGAGTCAATGGTTTATGCAAACACCATTCAGGATTCCACTCGGAAAAGATCCTGACGCGCTGCGAAAACTAAATTTCGACAGTTCTTTTTTAAGTTGAAGAAGGCCTAACAACGAAAAGACTTCTATAATGGACCGTGTGAATAAATGCTTGGAAAAATAATGCGAAACGAGCTGCTTGCTTTACGAACCAATTAAAAAATACATGCACAAGCAGTTATTACAATGGCTGGAATTGATGTATTCAGATTTTTACATTTTCAGCTGACTATTCCTTGCCTAGGACCTTGGTGGCAAAAATCATTTATTTTAGGAGCACAGTTGCGCAAAATATTGTCTTTCTCTTAATTCCAAAATTCTGGATTCATCATTCTTTTCACGAATGCAACGTAATCAATCTGCCCCTCCTCATTTATGCCTGCTGTGCTGATCATGGCAGTCACTTCCTCTTCTGTCAACTTTTCCGCCTGCGAGCATAGTGCGGTCATGAGTCCCTCCATTGTAAGAAATCCGGCGGATTCGGTGTCGAACATACGGAAGGCCTTAAGGATGTCTTCTTCAGTATAGATTAACTTTTCCTTTTTTGCAGCTATCTGGCAGAACTGTTCGAACGATGCACCCTCAGAGAAAATGTTGTTTTCGGTGTCCACTTCTCGTAGCATATCCTGGAAGAGATAAAATATACAAATAGATATTACCACAAGACCTAAGAGTAAAACTAACCTTTCCTAACACAATGTTATTGGTTTGGCAAGATAAACTAGTTCTATTTACATTATGCAACATTATTCTGGCGTGAGTTATGTCAAATATACTGAAAGCACAGCGAGTATCTCATTTTGTTAAAATGCGGAAAACCTTCGAAACAGGCTCGAACCTCAAGTTAGTACCTGTGCTGACGGTATGATGCAATAATTTTCTACTTGCAAACTTTTCCATTGTTGGATTCTTGGTTATCCGATGGTTTTGGTCGTATTCCACTCAGATCTTTGTGTCAAGGTAGGATTCAGACTCAACCATGCCGTCTCTACTGCTAATGATAGGTAAAAAATGCTTTTTCACTCCTTGGTAAAAGCCTTTGACTGTGGTTGCGGTGGTTGAAAATAATACTAAAATCTCATGCCAAATCCGCAAAATGTAGTCGAAAAATGTTTTGCTTCTATCTTGGTCGGTAGAATTACTGAATACACACCAATTGCAAAAAATATTCCGTCCATTTAAAACTGGGACGGAAAAGTCATAAAATGTTGAATATTAACGTGGTTAAGGATATAAATTACTAGTGAAACTAGTGTTTGGCGTTTTGATCGAACTCTAGAGGTTCTCTGACTGTTGACCTTTTACCACACTGCCTGTTAGTTAATCAGTTGCAGTTAATGACTATCTTTTTTCGGATTTAGCTGCTAATTCCTTCTATAAGGAAGATGTTTGCTTGAATTTACTACGAGGATGCACATGATCAATGATAGTGTGTCTTTGAAGTTTTACAGCTTGGACTGATGCTAGGGATGCCATTTTAAATGGATGACAAAAGTAAATGCGGTTGGGTGTAGAGTTAAACTGGATTTCAGTGGCATGAAGCGCGTCAGGGATTAGAGCTGTAGCAGACGCCAAGGCCTGGAGAAATTGCATCGGGGAGAGACGTGTATGGATTTGGGTTTCGTAGTCTCTAAATGGAACGTTACTTCTATTAGGTGCAGCACATAACAACACAGATGCCAGATGTTTACGTGAGTCAGCATAATCCGTTCAGGCAGATCGAGTTCAGTACTAACAGTGCTAAGAAAGGGAATTGGGACAGTTTGAGTAGGCGCGGCAGACGTAGTCTGAGTGACTGGGTTTGATTAATGGAAGCAGACAAGGTGATGTTTGATATGGACGATTCTGTCGCGGAATTTGTCTTCTCAATACGGATAGCCGTGAAGTTAGTCGGCATTTATGACGTTCCTCGGCGAGATAGCGACATTGAATGATGCGGTGTATGCGAAGATGGGCCAAAAGACAAAAAAGAGCTTTATATGTACGTTGGCAGTAGCGGTGTATTGTTTTAGGGTTGGATGTTGGCGGTGTTGACCCACGACAGTCTCTTTTGGCTTGTCTGGTGCTTCATTTCAGTCTGCTGTGTGCTATCGGCTTTCGTGGTTTTTGCATCAGATGTCGCTTGCATTGGTTGTTATTACACTTTGATTTGTGTCGATCACTTCTTAAGGGCAATTCTTCACGCGTTGGGGCATAGATAAAATATTCATAGTGATTTTATGTATCCGTAATTACGTCTGAGCCTGGTATCCAGTTCCAGGAAGCATTTTTATAATCTATTAATACGCTATTGAGAAGCAGCTAATTTTCAACACAACTTACTACCTAGTTGCAAAAGCCTAGAGGACTACCCGATAGCATGTGGTAAACCTAATCACTGTAGCCTCCCTGGATCTTTTATTGGCTTCCGTTCCTTTTGTCACCAGAACTCGCGTGCAGTTAATTTCAATTGAAAATGCGACCAGAACTATACTAATTTCCCTGCTCGTTGAAGAAAGTCAGCATTCAACAGGAAAAGTTCTACCATAACTCTTTCACGTTATTTCTATGAATTTAAAGACGCTGTACCTCCAGAAATATGCTTCTAGTTGAGCCGTCTTAATATTGCTAGTCTTAAAAATCTTCCAAGGCTGGCAAACGGTCGTCTGCTCCTTTGCTTCCACTGGCTTCGTTTAGCATATATGCTCGTAATTCGCTGCCCAAAGTTTTATTTATCCCCACCCAAGCACCTGCGGACCACAGCACATGAAGTAGGCAATATCAGTTACCGAAACCACATGATTACGGCTTACGTGGGAAATTACATCTCCTTTCAGTGTCCTCCAATGGAGATTTTGCTTAGCCGTCGCTGTTTTACGACTGCGCGAGTTCTCATATAAGTACTTATAGCGTCTAGTTCGAACAAATTTGTGCAAGACTAGTGTGCTCCGATAACTGGCCTCTCGCGTTCGGTGTAACACGTGGACTGAGATTAAGACCCTTTCGCGTAACACAAACTCCACATGTTACCGACCGGCTGATTCTTGATGTTTTCCCGAAAGGGCTGCTGGCTGTGTAATCAACAAACACACGAAGCAAGCAAACGTCAGCTGGAAGTAAATGGCCCTCACAGTCACATTTTAGCATGCGAAAACAGCCGCAACAGTAAAATATACTAACCTCTATTTCGCATATAGCAGGCATAAGTCCGGCTTTTCTCATGCATTGCAGTACATTTTCTGCTGGAATTTTACCCTTGTTTTCAGGATCAAAAAATGAAAATGCTTCTTGGTACTCCACCATTCGCTCTTCCGATATATATGTTGCATATTTGTCTGGCATAGTTTAGGAAAGCTTTAGAATAGGTTGCTGCAATCTGCAATAGATGAAAGCATATTGAAACGTAATTGTTACATTCACGGTTTTTGCAATACGATTTTAGTTAACATTAAAAGCATTGAGCTCCTTTTTATATGCACCTTTTTAAGGAAAACGTAAACAAAAGTATGGCTTATCAATGTTACAGAAAAAACTGCTCTCTGTCACCA